TCTCTCTCTCTCTCTCTCTCTCTCTCTCTCTCTCTCTCTCTCTCTCTCTCTCTCTCTCTCTCTCTCTCTCTCTCTCTCAGCCAGCTATCGAACACGACCTTGCAAAACTTGGCGACGATCCAGCGCAATTCTAGTGTAGTCAACTACGTGTTGTAATCTTCTTTTCTTCAGGCCTTAGTCCTTCCTCGTTTACTATATGCCCAAAGTACAAAACTTCAGGCGGGTCAACTTTATAGAAGTGTGACTTTTTATGACTGGTGTCTGTCTTCTGGCAATGGGTGGGCCTGATTGTATGCAATCCAAAACGCCACGGGTGGGCCTTCGGTTCCCAGCACTCCCAGTGACTGCAAGTCCCAACACGTGCGTCATGGCTTCGGAATATGGAGTGACTTGTTTGTTGTCTAATTTCGAACATGCTTGCACACAAGTTTGGTTTGTCTAAGCAGTCATTGTTGGTTGTCAATTCTGTGGCCCTGAAGCAGGATGGCCCACGGGGACCATGGATAACACCCATGCGGAACGGATCAACGGCCCGTATGTGGACCGTCGTTGCAGCACTCCACATTGCCTCATACTGGCAAGGGAAACAACAGTCGCCACCCACCTTCCATGGTCAACGAACACGGTCGGAAGACCCGCCGTCACAAAAAGTGGTCACCCCTAAGCCCCTAACAGCACCCCCCGCCTAAAAAAAAAAAAAAAAACAAATACCACTACCTCTGAACCTTTCCAAGTTGTGCCATAGAATTCAGTGGCACTTCAGAGGTAATGGAGACGGTTGAGGCCCTGCGGGCACTCCGCATTGCCAACACACAGCACATGCACAACATACTAGCGAAATCGTCAGAAGATCCACAACCTGACAGCTGACCGCAGTTGGCGGCGGGTGGACAACATTGCGTTGTCAGAATTGCGGCATTTCTATATTTTTTCAACATTTATAGTGGAGTAAAGGATGTCACACGGATGTCGCCGGGACGCGGCATTTCTATATTTTTTCAACATTTATAGCGGAGTAAAGGATGTCACACGGATGTCGCCCCGACGTCCCGCAGCCGTCACACTACTCCACATACGTCGTTAGTGGGATCTAGCTCCAGGACTAAGGGTCTCGTTAGACACTCCTAAAAGTTCCTGTCTTTAGGATTGCGTCTTGGTTGCACGCAATCCTAAATGGGACGCGGGAATCGAAAATGTGAAAACGGCGTTAGGACTCGTCCTAAAAGATTTAGGATTCCCCAGCCAAATCGTCATAAATTTTCCAGTAGCCCCGGACCTGCTGAAAAATTTAGGATTCCCACGTTTCACGGAGTCGTCGTGTCACGAGAATGGCTCCGTCGACACGGAGGCGCTGGTCCAGGAGAGGTCCATCGGGCCGGTGGGCGGACATCGGAGGTTTTCTGGCGGTCAACGACGGCAATGGCCCCCACCCGTAGCCGTTGACCGGTGGGGTGGAGCGCGCGGGGCGAAGCGTGGCCAGGCGGGCGGCCGTTGCAGATCGTTGGCTCGGGTGCGGGCAACGGAGGAGTCCCCAGACATCTGCACGACGACACACGGAGGCGGCGTGGGCGCCAACGGTCGGTTTTTGAATCGGAGGCGCCAACGTTTATCGTCTTCGCTGCCGGTCGACGACATATGAAGGTCCAGCGGCCTTGTCCGCGGGCATGCGAGGAGAAAGTTCAGCAGGACGTCACGTGCAAGGTCGCCTGTCGACGTCGAATTCATGGCAGATATGCAGAGGAGATTGCCTCTGCTACTGATCGTTGTGGTCGTCTTCCTCTTTGTCGTCTTCCTCCACGTGTGTTTGTCGTGCCAGCCGTGGAAGCAACGTCAAAAGCGCAGGGCGTCGACGAAAGGCGTTGTGCTTCAAGAGGAATGTCCCATGGCGGGCATGAAGGCACGCGCTGTTCTGCCTGCAGCTGAGGGCGGAAGAAGACCTGCGACGACGAAGCCTTCACGACGGTACGAACCATCCATGTACAGCCATTTGCCGTCATGGGAGACGCCGCTGCCTCCCTCGGACGAGGAGCCGGAGGGGGAGGAACTTCCAACGTTTCCTCTCGCCAGCGGGTCGACGCAGCTGTTGTCGCAGACGGTGCTCGTACGCGGGTCGGCAAGCAACGAACTAGGCGAGTACACGTCACTCCTGCAGCAAGGCTTGGGAAACGACGACGACGGGGGAGTTGATCTCCGGTTCGGCTTGAGTTCTAGCGGTGCCAGGGAGGTGAGCCGCACGGTGATCACCGTCGTCCATGCTTCCGCACGTGGCCTGCAGCATCCTCGAAGGGAGCAGACGGAACGTTCCACAGTACGTGGCAGCACGTCCGTCGCTGGCGGTGTCGGGTCTTCGCCAGCAGCCCGGCAACATGTATCGAGTGCGGCGTTCGGGGAACGATTGACGGATAACTGGGACGTGCGCACTGTTGCCGCAGAAGCGTCCCTTCGCACCAGCGGTGCACACTCGTCAATGCTGAACCAGACAACGCTCGCGCCACCCGAAGGGAGGGACGAGGGCGCGTGCAGACCACCGGCGGGTTCAGGAGCCAGTGTGGAGAACATCACTCGAGGCGTGTCAAACATGCGGGCACACAGCGATGGCGGCGACGGCGATGGCTGTGGCGGTGACGATGCCGACGAAGGATTCAGGGAGGAAGTCGACACGGGGGACGACGATGACGACAATGCTGTTCGGCCTGTGGGGAAGACGGGTGGGAGGGGTATAGGACGCAGCAACCGTGGTGGCCGTGGTCGATCCGTTGGCCGTGGCGGCAGAGGTGGCGTCACCGACGACGGAGGGAAGTCTGTGACGTACTGGTCGACGGACGAGCAGATGCTCCTCGCCAGAGGCAAGCGGGAGCAGGACATGCACCTCGCCGGGTTGGGCCACAATTATGGCCGGATGCAGACGAAGGAGTGGAAGTGGGTCGACATTGCGAAGCGCATGGCGAACGGTGGGAACCCTTAAGACGCAGTCGACTGCATGAAGAAATGGGACAATTTGTTCCAAAACTACAAGAAGATACAGAGGTTTCAGAACGCAAGCGGGCGGCCAGATTTCTTCAAGTTCTCCAACGACGAAAGGAAGGAGCACAACTTCAAGTTCCGGATGGAGACGGTGCTGTACAACGAGATCCACTCCGGCATGTTGGGGAACCATACTATTTTCCCTCCCAACATCGCCGACACCAGCAGTCCGGACGGGGTGCAGCTGCCCAGGAGAGGAGCGGGTGGTGGGGAGTCTGATGATAGTGAGGGCGGTGGTGAGGGCTGCCCTGAAGAAAGATCTTCTGCAAGGGACTCCGACGTGTTGCCGGAGGCGGGAAGCGTAAGAATGCACGCCAACAGGCGTTGGAGTCCATCGCTGATGTCATGGACCGCCATGGCGAACTGATATCGTCGACGATTGAATCGTCCAGCAAACGGCAATGCAGCATTTCATCGAGGCAGTGCGACATACAAGAACGGCAGTGCGACATACTCGCGCAGGAAGTAGCGGTCCAAAAAGTGCACTATGCGGCGTCCGACGAGACGCAGAGGATGATGTGTCACGCACTTATGGAGATCGCTGACGCCATCTGTGGTGGCGTTCGACGATGTAGCCCATCGAATCATTTGTTGATTATGTTGTTGCCATTGCGCTCGGAGTAGCCATGAAGATTTTTTTTTTTTTTTTTAATTTTTTATATATCGATTTCTTCTGCGTAAGATGATGGAGGCAGACCGCACGATATGATTTTGCTTGCGAAATGGTTGCCACTGATGAGCGAAGCCGTCTGCGCTGGATTTGCCGCATTTCGTGGCGTGAGTCGTTGTATTGATGAAAAAGTGTGTGTGTGTGTGTGTGTGTGTGTGTGTGTGTGTGTGTGTGTGTGTGTGTGTGTGTGTGTGTGTGTGTGTGTGTGTGTGTTGTGCCCGTAATGGTGTATTTTTTTTATTTTTTTTTCCTCATCTTTCACGACGAGACTGCTTCGTCTACAGGGGGGAGGGGGCTCTACTTTCGAGGAAGAGGGGGGCGTGGGGGCGCAGGCGGTATGGGGTGTGCGGGGGCGAAGTGGGGTTCCCTTCGTTTTGGTCGCAAAGGGTGTGGAGCTGTACACTTTCGCGGTTGTTGGAGGATATGACACGCCAAGACAGACAGGGCGAAATCACGTGTCACCGTCGACGACGCCTTTTTCCGCTGTACAGAAATGACATTGTGGCCGCTCCCTCTGCGAAAGGAGTGTCCACTCGTGCGCAACCCGACCCGTATAAATGCAGTCCGCAGGAGGGTGTTTCTTGTACAGAAGCCCGCTGCGCCAGCTTCGCCGTGGCTCTTGTATTCCTCTCGCCGCGCACGCCGAACCGTCTCTGGAGGGTGTTTCCCGCACAGAAGCCCGTCGCGCATGCTCCGCCATTGTAGCCATCTGGAGACGTGGAGATCGGCCGTCATTCTTCTCGGCGCGGGTCACACTCACCGCCGAACTTGTATTTTCCCGCCGTAAAGCTTCTCGCCACAGAGCAATCTTGTCGCGCTACATCGCCCTTCTCGCCGTAAAGCTTCTCGTCGTTCCCGCCCTTCCCGTCGTAAAGCTTCTCGCCGTAAAGCTTCTCGTCGTTCCCGCCCTTCCCGTCGTAAAGCTTCTCGCCGTAAAGCGTCGTCGACTTGTTCTCTCGAAGGACGGTTCTTCTGCGTCAGCGGGGTCGTCGTCCTTCTGCCCTGCACGTCTGCGTCGTCGTCTTCTGCCCTGCTGTGGAGGCTTCTTCCTCGTCGTCGCCGCGCCGCAGCACATCGCTGGGAGATAGGAACGGGGGTCGGCGAAGCGCTTCCAACTGCTTAAAAAGGGGGCAAAAGGTTGTCACGACAGATCCGCGGCCAGCATGTCGACGCGAGGGAGCGCCCGTGGTACGAAGCACGATGCCGCAGCCGCCGTCGGGCTTGTGCAGGCGAAAGGTCGGCGCCATGTCCCGAAATCAAAGAAGGTGCGCTCCGGTGATGCGTCAGGAAGCGTGCCTGCTCGTGGTTCCGAAGGTTGGGCGGCCACAGCGGAAGTGGAGTCTGACGACGACTTCAAGATGGAGGAACCGCAGGCGGAGGCGACGGCATCGGCGGTGCGACAGAGCGCTCGCCAATGAGCTTCTGATCACAGTGCGTCGAAGAGGATGCGCTCCCCTGCACCCGAGGCGCAGCAGGCGCGTGGCCGCGATGCAAGGACAGACAAGGCTGCCGTCATCGTGGCGGAAGGCGATGATGACGAGACGTTGGAAAGACATCGTCAACGCAATCTTGCACAAGCGGCCGCAGCCCCGTTGACGACTACACGCCTCCCGGAAAAGGAAGTCGTGCCAGAGCGACGCGCAATCGAGGGTGAGGCGGCAGGTGCTGTGGGCGGGACTGCCACAGCGAACTTGGCCCCCGTGGCGACGGCGAGAGAGGAGGCAGCAGCTGCGGCGACGGCGAGAGAGGACGCGCGTGGCGAGAAGACAACCGATCGGGAGGGCGGCGATGTTGGTCCGAGCCGGGTGCGCAAGGAAATCATGAGCAGAGAGTTCATCGACCGCGCCGTGCTCTGGGTAGATGACAAAGCGTTCTGGACGATGGGGGAGGGGCGGAGATTGTAGAACATCATCCACGAAACGCGGGAATACTTCGTCGCCATCGCCAGTGGCCTTCCAGCGACTGCCGTCTCTCGCAGCGTCGTCCTGCCGAAGTCGAGCACCAGGGTAGCCAGGATCTCTGACCCATCGCAGCTGCAGCAAGCGATCTCCCGTGCGGCGACAGTGAAGAACGTGGCTTTCCGCGTCTTGCACGGCTGGGTTTTCAAGTCCGGGAACCGCGCAAGGGGGTACAACCTGGCTTTCCAGTACGCACTGGAGTCCGTAGCGACGGACATCGCGCGTGCTATGTGGTACGGCGAGGACTGGTCCAACGTCGTCAGCACGCCCATCTGCGGCCACACGATAGATCTGAACATGGACTTGCCACTATGATTCGTCGGCGCCCACATCGACGACAGACCCGACGACGACGACATGGCGACGTACCAGGAGTCGACCGTCATCTGCATCGCCAAAGCATTCGGCGCGGCGGTGCAGATGGGAGCGCACATCGACGGCGATTTCATCTCCTACGACCGTCTTTGTCGGGTGGCTGACTGCTTCAGACTTCTGTTGGCAGCGGCAATGTGGATAATGCGCATGGCGGGAGACGACTCCCGCAGCCACTACGAGGCGTTCTACTCCATCAACTTGTTGGCCAAGCCTACACTTGTCGCGTTCATGCATCGCTCCTTCGACCATTGACGATCCGTCGTCCGCGCCGCGAAAGCCGTCACCTAGAGGCTTGGGAAGGCGAACCGAATGTTTGGCGAGCACCCCGACTACATCCCTCAATGGGCACCCTGCGGCATTACTTTCGGCCACGACGCCAGCTTAACGGGCCCGAAGGATTGCAAGAGGCTTGATTGGTTGGGTTCGGGCCCCCCCGATGGCGACGGCGACGACGACAAGAAAGAAGGCGCGTAGGGGGTGGGGCGGCGGTTGTGATAGTCCTCGAGCATGTCCACGTGGCACATCGACGTGAGGGACTTCACCGCGGTTGGACC